AATTGAAAATTCCTGATGTAAAAATTGCACAGTTCTGGTGAATAGAGGGGCAAGCTTTATTGAACATTTACTGGGGCCTCATAGCCTAGTCAGTAAAGGCACGGTATTACCAAGCCGGAGGCGGCGGGTTCGATTCCCGGTTCGGTCGAGGGAATCTTTTGGTTTGAAAATTTTCTCGACTTTCCTGGGCATAGAGTATCATTGTGCTTGCCATACAATATACAAATTCATGCATTGGTATTGGCATCGAAAGCTCTCAATTAATAACTGTGGAAGTGCATTTAGAACACTAAGTTGAGAGCACGCAATAAGCTAATATGCACTAAGCAATATGCTTGCAATGCGAATAATAATAAGAAGAAGAAGGTAACAGCCTTGTTACTGGTAACAGCCTGGCTACTGTAATTAATCATTTTGTCAAGCTTCTGCATTCATTTTTCATCAGATTTCACTGCTGTTTTTGGGGGTGACATCTACCGGAAACTGTTTTCCGATAATTTTTCACAGAGGACCTCTATTAGAGTGATGCAAAATTTGAAATTTTCGCTCCACAATACTTAAACGATTCCAAATCGGATCCTGACTAACCTCTCAAAATTTGACCCCATTTGGTGAGAAACTGAGATGGCACAAACCATTTGAAGTTTGTATGGGAATTACTACGGTAAAACCAAGATTTTTGTTCATGTCTATCTAATAATTCACAATATCGGTCTGCTTCAAAAACTTTCAATTGTACTTGTAGGAAATTTTCCCAGCTACAACTTTGCTACAAGACCACTTTTTGATTAAATGCAAGGATCGAAAGTTATCAATGGTTCAATGCGCTGATGTCTTATGATCATGCTCAATCAACTGCTCAGCAGGCAACATTGGTGTTTCTGGGGCGTTGAATAGGACACAAAAATCATGGCTACTATGTCAGACTGCAAAATACAGTGTTGCCTACAGAGCAGCTGCTTGATCATGTCATAAGTTTACCAATCTCTTAAATAATTAATAACTTTTTCCTGTCTCGTTTTACATAGAAACGATCTTCAGCAAAGTTGTAGCTGAGATAATTTTCTATAAGAATAGCTATCGAACTGTTTCGCAGCTCAATATGGAAAAAGACTAGAAGGCAATGAACAAAAAGTTGAGATTTCCCATAGTAATTTACATGTAAACTTCAAATGGCTTGTGCGAAGTCTGTTTCTAACCAAATGAGTTGTAACTTTGGGAGGCTAATCAGGATCCGATTTGAAACCATTTAAGCACTGTGGAGCGAAAAAGTCAAATTTTGCATCAGTCTAACCTCTATATATGCATTTAGATTAACATTCGAAGTCCCTCCTTTTTACACATTCTGCACACAAAACTAGCTCACCCCTCATAGGATTTCCCACCGATTTCTATGAATGGGGTGGAGCAGTAAGCATCTTTTGTGCAGAATATGTAAAAAAGGAGGGACTTCAAATGTTAAATTAAATGCAAATATCAGGGCTGGTACCGATCACTGCTTTCAGAAATAGTGATTTTAGTGACTATATTGAACAAATAAGCGAACAAAAAGTGACATATAGTTGTAAAAATAGTGACTAAAAAGTGACCTAAGAGAAGGTGCATCAAATAATTGTTTGATGTTTTAGACTTATTCAATTATTATCTCATAAACACTTATGTACGATATGAACCTATAAAACGAAACATTCACTAGAAAGTTTATAGCCAAACTCACAGTTTTAGTCACGGTGTCTACTAATTTAAAAAATCTGGAAAACCGGGAATGCTCAGGAAATTTTTTGTGTCCTTAAAAACCTAGAAGTCTGAAAGAATTTCAAAAATTTCTAACTAAGGATGTTTTAAAGAAAATAATGAATTTTAAAATACAACCATTTAAATAATTTCGTTATTATCAAGCACACTTTGAACTTTAAAGTTTCACAATCAAAATTAATCTTCAGTAAAAAATAATTTTAAAAATTTTTTTTTTTTGTTTCCGAAGACCACTGTCCTTCTGTGAAGTTTCCGAAGTTTTTCTAAAATTATGGAACATTTATGCTCCCTCAATTTTAATGGAATTAGAACGAAATAATTAATATAGTTGCATGATTTTCACTGATGTTCTCAAGATGTTTCTGAAGTTCATAAAACTTCCCTTAAATTACCGACACTAGTTTAAAACTTCTTCAATAGTCTAGACTTTCCTGGTGCTTAAATGATTACTGAATTTGTTTAAAATTCTCTAGACTGCCCTGAATATATCAGTATTTTTTTTAAGAACCAGCAACTTTACTGAAATTAATTAATTTGCCGTGAAGTTTCGAAAATGTTCCTTAAGTATTGTAACCATGTAACCTGACGTTTAAGGATCAATCATAGTATTCTATAATTCCACGGAACTCCTTGTAAGTCACTGAAAATTTGCTTAAGTTAATAGGATTATTCTGAAGCTATCTGATCGTCCTCGAAGTACTCGGAATTTCGCTGAATATCATTAAACTATATAAAAATATCTAAATTTAGAATTTCTTGAAGCTATCGCTGCTTGCTAAAAGTTCTCGCTTTTTTTTTTTTATTAATGGAACTTCGTTGATGTTCTCTAATCAAGTTACCTAAATTTTCGCATTTTTTAAGTTCTTCAAATCTCCATGATATAACACCCTTAAAATACTCTCACGTTTTCCAGATGTTCAAGGAATTCTCTTGGAGCTTTGTTGAAGTTTTCTGAAATTCACTGTGTTTCTCGAAACTTCTTTAAGGTTTCTAATATCGACTTGAAATTATTGGAACTGCCCTTTGATTCTCTGACCTGTCTTGATGTTCTCGAAGCTTCCATAAAGCTCTTAGTTCTATTGAAGATCTCGGTTTTGCACGGAAATAAATAGAATTCCCGTAAACACCTTTAAACTCCCTGAAACTCTCTGGACTTCTGTGAAGTTTCTGAAATTTTGATGAAGTTTTCATAAATTCTCTGAAGGTCTCTGTGCATCCCTGAAATTCGCGGAACAACTTAAGGGTTCTCGATTTGTTTTTCAGCACATAATAGAACTATCTTGAATTTAAAAAATTTGCACAATACCCCTCAAGATTTCTAAAATTTCTCATGTTCGCTTGACACTCGTGAAGTTCTCTTAAATTCTAGGAACTTCATAAAAGTTCCTGAAAAGTCTCGGATGCCAAAATAACCGCTTTGAGGTTCTTACAGCTTCCAGTAAGTTTCCCATATTTTCAGCGGGTTAACTTCCCTTATGTTCCTGCAGTTTGTTTAACTGAAATTCTCAGCATTTCCTTTCATTCCTCAGAACTTCTCCAAAGTTCCTAAAATTGCTGTAAAGTTGATTGGACTGCATTGAAGATCTCTAATCTTTCATAAAGTTAATTACAAACTTGAAATAAATCATACATTTTTTTACTTAATTCTGGCACTTTGAATATTTTCCACATCTTGAACTTGTACATGAAATACGAAACTTCAAGACATTGAATATTTTTAGATCAAGATAATCAATCTTGAAATAAATTCACGCTAGAAAAGTTGAAAATAGTGACTTATTACAAGAAAAAGTGACTTTAGTGACTTGGCCTTAAACAGTGACTGACATGAAAAAAGTGACCAAGTCACTAAACTCGCTACCAGCCATGAAATATAGAGGTACCAGGCATGTTTTTACTGACAGGTACTCTATTTTGTAATCTGTGAAAGGGAAATTCCTAATAGAGTGTCATCAAAATACATGGCATGTTATGAGATTGAGCTCGTGAGAGAGAACTTTCTCTCTCAAATTTGAATTTTTCGGCTCTCTGGGGACTGGTAGTAAAGCAGGTAAAACTGTATGGGGAAAGATCATTTTTTATTTAATTGTAGCTTGTTTAACAGTAATTTCCGGGAAAAAACTAAACGACAAAGTCCCTGACTAATTTATTTAGCTTGTCGTTCACTTATTTTGACCTGAATATGCACCGAAATCGAATTATTCCCACGTCTCTCAATTTATACATGGGGATTTTGATCACTTCCTACCAGTGGAACAGCGCCATCTCTGTGGAAAGTGGCCGGACGATATGATTAATTGGTTCACAGCTTTATGAAATTCTTAAAAGAAAAAAAATCTTCAGAACCATACACGAATTTTCCACATAGGTAAAATAATCCATGATCCAGGATTATATATTTTTTTCAAGAGGGACTTCAAAAGGTTTCGAGGCTTGCTTTTTTCTTTCTTGAATCCTTTCTATGCTGTTGTAATCAACTTTAATTTTTTTTTCTTGATTTGTTTTCCGTCGATCTTGTTTTCCGTGCTGAGCACCAATGCTACCGACGTGCCAGGAAGGCAGCTCTCCCACACCTGGACCCTACCTATCGACCCATCAACTCATGAACCGGGGACCAACGGCTTTACTTCCCTGGGAAGGAAGGCGTGATCAGATATGTTATGCCTCAGAACATCCCGGCGGCGCCAACTTGGATTGAACCCAGGCCTGCTGTGGAGAGAGATAATCACGCTTACCACTACACCACCGGCGCCGCTGGACTTTAGATTATTCCTAATTATTTTAAGTGTGTCTTCAAACAGTTTTGATGTTAGTAAATATTTACGATGTTTTATAATACTTTTTACAAACAGTATCTTAAATAAAAGGCATACATTTTATGATAGCAATTAAAAATGTCATTGCTTGAGAAATAAAAGTGTTACACGTTACATCTGTGGGAGGGGAGGTATTGGTAAATGTGTTATGTTTGGTTACATTGGGGAGGGAGGGAGTTCAAAATTGCCATTTTTGGCGTTAGATAGAGCAGACGAATCAGAGACGAAATTCTCAAATAAAGAAACCAAACTAAGCCACATTGTAATATTAAACACGAATCTTTAATGTGGGAGGAGCCATGGTTTGGAAATATCCTTATCAGGGTTGTTAATCGATAACGTCTACGCTGCAATTGGAAGTTTCCATATTAATTGCTTTTTACCATGTTTACTGTGCCAGTTATGCAGAAATCAATACACAATACTTACATTATTCTTCTCGCTGTAGTTGACCAACGATATCCGGTTCAGCTCCTTGACCAGCTCGGTGGTATAGGTGGAATGGCCTCGATGTGCTTGCGCAACGCAATGAATGATATCGTAGATGGACAGTTCCGGCGGGCTGAAGGTCATCGAGTCCGGCAGGATGGTGGTTACGACCGCAGTCGACGTGCTTATCTCGGCACAATTGGTCATGGCTCCGATTCCGGTTCCCACTCCGGAACCAATGATGTTGTTGTTGTTATTGATGCTATTGTTATTATTATTATTATTGTTGTTGTTATTGTTGTTATTATTATTATTATTATTATTATTAATATTATTGCTGGCACTAATCACTGGGACTGTCGGCGTGGGCGTCCCGCCGCAGCTGCTCAACTGGGACACCTGGGTCGGTGTCGTCGAGTTTACGCAAACGTTCATATCTTCGGTGCAGTTTCCGGCTTCGCGTGATTTCTTCGGAACACGACCATAGCGAACAGCTGGAAGGAGAAAGGAAGAAGAATACAAAGTTTCATCAGTCGGTCATCGGACACCTTGAAAACGGTGAGCACATTTATTAGTGTATTTATCCTTCTCTTATAAATAGAGTTGATTTTCCACTCCGGTAACTTTTGCAAAAAGTGCACCTCATTCCTACCGCGGCAGCAACGAAGACGACGATGGTGCAGAAGCAGTAAGACAACAAACTAGGTGAAAGAAGGTACATATCATGCAAACATACTTTTTCCGCCTTTCTTTTTTTTCCCCGATTGCAGCATAGCAGCATAATAAGCTCGCCTACGGATTGGTGCATTGTGGGTGCATTCGAATGCACACGTGCCTTCAATAGTCCGTCGGGTGGCGAGGTATATAGGAACTGCCGCGCACTATGTAGCAGCTATTGAATTACAAATTTTCTCTTCCGGATTATTAAATTGTTTTGAGCTTTCTTATCGTTCTCCCGTGATCTTTAGAGGGTTTTCTTTGTATCCATTGTGTTATGTAATGTTTGCGAAAAAGGGCAACGGATGTAGTGTAGATATGCACCTTGGTGGAGATAAAAGTGTATTTTGAACAAACTATTCGAACTGAGCCATCTTGCGCAAGATCGTGTAGGTTTTGCTGAGCTACATATTGAACATTCAACTATTCATGTTTTTACTAGTTTACAGTTGTTCCCTAAAAATGTTAATTCGTCTTTTTGCAATATGAGACTGGTAAATTCGCATTCTCCGGTCAATTAGTTTTTTGAGTTGGAAAATTTCTCGATTTCTCTGACCATCTAGTTGTTAGTAGGCCTGCAAACGGATTAATAATATCCTTTGAAACAGGATCGTAATATTCTAAGTAACCAACAAGCCTGCTTAGTTGCCTTTTTGCAACATTTAGCTGAATCTAGAGCTGAATACTACTTACAGGGTGAGTGGTAATTCCTGTCAATGTTTTTCAAACGTTTGTAGATTCAGATGGGTTAATCACATCTGCATGTCTGCATATTTTTCTTTTAGAGTGTATTCAAATGTCAACACGGCTTCCAAGTCTGTTTTGAATTTTCATACGTTTGCGACTCGTGGTAATCATGGACGCGAACAGAGAACTCGTGATAAGCTTCTCAAGCGGCACGGTGATTGTGAAATTATGTTTTTGGACGAAAAAATGTTCCTGTTACAGGATCCCACAACACGCAAAATGATCGGGTATATACAACATATCTTTCTGATATTCCTCGTGACAAACTGGCTGTTCAAAATTCCAGAATGTTTCCAGGGTGATGGTTTAGGGATGTTCCTCCAAAACTTTAAAGGATCCATTGCTGTTCATTGAATAACACCAGTTCATCGATAATGTTTTGAAGAACCATTTGCAGGGTGGCCAGTGAATTTTCATTTTGAAATTCCCGGTGTTTTCCCGGTTTTCCCGGTTCAAATCTTAAAAATTTCCCTGTTGTTAATATTCAACTAAAAACGAAATTGTACGCATTTTTGAAAACGTATCCAACTGTAAATTTTCTGAGGTTATTTGTGGGAAAAGTAAAAGCAGGATTACAGAAAGTATTTTTTAAAGCTGAAAGTATAAATTCAACTCTATGAGTCACTTAATGTATTCAAAACAAATCATTGATCTTTCGAGATACTTTAAAAAATCAATACCTATCACTTTGTTATGTTCGATACATCTTATGATTTTAAAGCCCTAGAATTATTTGAGAAACAGAGATTAAAGTCACTAGGGCAAATGCTATCTGGATGAATAGGTTATAAGACAGAATTTTGAAAAATTAAAAAAAAAGAGATGTAATTTTAAAAATTGTTTCAGAAAAAATGAACTTGATACAAATGAGAATGAGAGGAAATTGTCAGGGATATCGGATAAAGAAAATGTGTCTTCACTCCGTTGTCAATACTAACATAAATATTAACCTTTCAGTACTCGCGCTGATGTACAAAGTTAAACACAAACAAATATGTAAAACCTTTTGACGTTGGAACTCACTCAACGTGAAACTAAACATGGCTCATGAAATTTAATATCCATGTCGAATAGACCAATACTTGAAAAATATAACTGAAAGGTTATTTACTTAAAGAAATTTACTGAAAGGATAAAAAATGTGATTTAAGAAGATTCCCATGATTCTGGGACTCCGAAATTTGTGTACAGTCTGAAACTAGAACTTTTCTTCAAAATTTGTGATTAATAACAATCTTCGTGATACAAGATTTGGAGAAAAAATATTTAAATTGTGAGATTTTGGAAAATTTTCAAGATCACAGATTTGAAAAAAAAAAAAAATCACACTTATGAGTCGTGGAGTCATAATTGTCAAAGCTCTGGGACTTGCAAGCATTTTAAGGGTTATAACACATTACAAAACAATCAATATTTAGTAAAATTTAAAAATATTCAAAGTGTTGATTGCAAACAAATATTGAGGAGGATCCCCACATAATTTTCGAAGGAGCGCAGAATTCCAGAATTATATTCAATTTCTGAATTAGAAATTGTAAGATGAATTTGGAGAGATTTCTGTGGAGAAGAATTCAAGTTCTAAATTAAATTCTTAGGTAATTTATGAAGATTTATGAAGGAGTTGTGAAAATTCCTACGTGATTCTGAGGAGATTTATATGAGGATCGTGAGGAAAATGACAGAAATAAAGAAGAATTCCAAGATAATTATGATGAAAATTCAACAAGACACAGAGTTCTAAGAGTGTTCTGGCGCTAATTTCAACCCTAGTGCGAAAGAAGATTTATCACAGACCTCCTACTAAATGTATTGCAAAAAAAATTGCTAATAACACTAGTTCACTGCATATTTGAACTTTGTACGCTGATGGTCATTTCCCATGTAAAATCGTGTGCTGAATCCAAAAATGTTGCCAGAAAAATCTCAGTAGGATAGTTTTTTAGATACAGCTAAAAATGAAATTTCATCTAATAAAAGTTTGTTTACTAAAATATAAATATCTCCGGCTGTAATTAAGCTATATCAATTATTTTAATGCCAAATTAAAAGTGAGAAAATTTGCTTTCGATCAACTTAAAACTATTTTTCAGTGAGATTAGTGGTATTGTTGGCACAACCACTACAAACATTTCTCGATAACTTTTTCAAAGGGATGTATCAGCTTTTGTAAACAATGCATCGGCGATCAAGATTTGGCGTAACTGGTAGCTCGCCAACGCATGCTAACACTCTCATCATATAGGAGAACTTTTCCCCTACCTGCTAGTGGTGTTAGTGAGCGTGTGCGAGTTACCAGTTACGCCAAATCGTTGATCGTCGATGCATTGTTTACAAAAGCTGATACGTCTTTTTGAAAAAGTAATCGAGATTTGTATTTCCCTTGCTTAAAAATAATCAAACTATTAATTAACAACAATGCCACTAATCTCTCTGACAAAGGATGTTCAGCTGATCGAAAAAATTTGGCGTTCAAATAATTGATATAGCTTAATTACAGCCGAAGATATGTGCTTTACTAAGTAAAATTTCATTTTTAGTTGTATCTAGAAAACTATCATACTGGGATTTTTTCTTCAAATCTATTGGCTATTGACTATTTTGACTGTTGCCGCCGTGTGTACTTGGGCAAAAAAAAGAGAAGTCCACACACCAAGGCCCATTACAAAACAGGCCATGATGGGGACTTCTCTCGCTCTGACTGACTCTGACTGATCATGGGCGCTTTTTTCAGTTTGCAGATTCATTTGACTACATTTTTGGATTTAGTGTACCATTTTACATAAGAATCATAGATCAAACATTGAAGTTCATTTTGTTTACTTTTATTTTTAATTTAGTGTAATTAGACAGAATTTCTTTAAAATACTCCAAGAGGGTTCTAAATAGAATTTCAAAAGATTTATGCTGTTTTGAATAGAGTTAAAATAACATTTTTAAAAGAATTTCAAAGGAATCAAAGTCTCCGTTCAAGGGAATTCTAAGAAGGATTCCAATCAAGTTCTTAGAAGGGTTTTCAAGGAAATTCAAAAAAGAATTCAACTGTAATTATTACGCGGAGTATTTTCTTCTTAATTTTAGAAGAGTTCCATGATAAAGTTAATTTTGTATAGCAAAAAATTAAAACCAAAGAAAGAATAGTTCAGTTTATGATTTTAAAAACGTTTGTTTCCAAAGTCTAGCATCTTTAAAACTTTCGTTTAAGGCCCATGCACTTTACATCTGAAATTGAAACGACAAAAGTCAAATTGTAGTTTTGCTGAGTGATAATTCTAAAAACAATAAGACGGGAAACTCGAGTAAATTATGCAGCAAAAAGAGCAAGACATTCATTTGGTAAAGAATAACTCTGTTTTAATGGTTAATCCTAAAATTCTGGTGTAAAAATTTGTTCCTATGGTACGGTGAATTTATTTTTCCCGGTTCTTCCATCGAATTCCCGGGTTTTTCCCGGTTTTCCCGGTTACTTTTCAAATTACCGGATATTTCCCGGTATTCCCGGTTTTCCCGGTTCGCTGGCCACCCTGTTATTTGCTTCCCATCGTCAAAAAATACTACAAAAATGCACCATACTGCTTCCAAAGAGTGGCCTGCCTCTTCACCCGGTTTGAATTCTCTCGACCTCTATGCATGGGGATACATGCTAGGCAAACCAGGAAACTTTTAAGTAACGTTTGGTGAAAATATGGGACGAAATGCCGCAAGATATCATGCGTGCCTGCTGTTACGCTTTTCAAAGACGCATGCGGCTGGTAATTAAGGCAAAGGGAGAAAGATTTGAACTGGACTAAGTCTAGACAAATGACATTGATCTACCAAACAGCTTCTCATTTGTATGACCATATACTTTACTGAAAGGAATTAGCACTCACCCTGTAAAGGGTGGAACGTTCAAAAATTGATCGACTAAAATTTGGTGTATTTTTTTTTAATCGTGCACTTAAAAACTTGAACGTCCCTCATTTTGTAGGTGTGTGCGTACGGAATATTGCCTCTATTTTGTTATTGCCATTTACCATTCAGTTGTCAAAAT